TGCAGTATGCTCTATTAAGGTCCAATTTCTAAGACTCTTCAACAGATCAAGCAGACATATCAAAGACATAGTTTTCTGTCACAAGAAGTGGCATAGGTATTTCTAACAAACGGAATTTGCATAAAACTATAAAACAAATTTTTTCTTACTGTGTATGAGAAAAACAGACAATGCCAGCTTAACATTTTTTTTTATCTCAGTTTCCTAATGAAGACAGAAAACCATTAACTTTCAGTAGTGAATTTTAAAAAGTAGTTAAATTTTCACAAATTTCCTTTGGAATTGTGCAGTATGTCCACTTGAGTTGACTTTTTAAAAAAAATACTCTTTTGAATACTGTGATAACCCAGGAATTCTTCTTACCAAAATATGTATTTTTGCCATGTTCTTTATTGTAGCAGGTCCCTTTTGTTTTAAAAGTTACCAGAGATACCTTTTTAAATTTCACTGCTGTCATTTTTGTACAGTACACAACAATTCCAACCATGCAATTCCTTATCCACTCAACAGTCCACTCTTAAAATCCGTGTTTCTCCAATTTGGACATAAATATGTTGTTTACTAGAAAATTGAAGGCCTTAAGGAAACCCAGGTAAATGACATTGGTGGGTCTTCACTTGGTGGGTCAACCATTTTAGTCACTCCATTATGGAAGTCCTCTAAATTGGTCAGGAATGATTTGCCCTTAGGGAAGCCATGTTGGCTGTCTCAGATCACCTCCTATGTTACCAACACTCCTTACAGTACAAATCCAAAACATAGCTCTGGACTATCTACTATGAAGAAAATTACCTCTCTCCCAGACAAAACCAGTACACAAGCCTCAGGACAAGCATCTTCACATTCTAAAGGGAATATGTTTCCAGAGTATGGGAGCTTTTGTATACTCTTATAGCAGACAAGAAGCATCATTATGCCTACCGTTGATATTGTGCTAAACCTCTCTCCTTGGTTTTTTACTTCAGTTTTAAGTTATGCCCTACAGCACTCACCACATGTGAGACACTGGATTATTATATTAATTATTGACTTGCACCAACTCAAGTGTGTGTGTAGCGGGGGAAACAAAGGGTCAAATTTCACAAAGGTGAAGTGATGCCCTGTCCCACACCCCAGCCCCCTGGAACCTCCTTGGGCAGCACTGGAGCAGCTACTAGTCACTGGACACTGGCAGTGCTGTCAACATCATATCCCAGAGCCCCTGACCCAGCCCTAAACCGGCTGAAGCTCTGGATGTCCGATGTAGGGGTAGGGGTGTGGCCACAGGATGCCAAAGCAATAAAAGTAGCAAAATGTGCTTTCCATGTTTGTTTGAACCCTATCACCTTCATGGATTCCTGGTAGCTGGATCTAGGGCTAGTAGCTGTAATTCTCTCTTTTAATCTTTCTTTTCTTCTTCCTCTCCTAATCTCCCTTTTTGATTTTTTGTGTACTTTAGGACTGGGTGGGTTGACTTTTACTAAGTTGTGAGGGTTAACATGTGCTAAGTCAATGCTTTGTGGAATGCTTTATTTTCATTGTACGTTGTCCTTTAAACTTTTACCAAGTTCTCTTATTGTCTAAAGTTTATCAGTAAAAGTATCTTCTGAGAAAACGTGTGAAGTGTTTCTCCTTTGCATTCTCTCTTAAGGTTTTAAAAAAGCTGAGTGCTCTCCCAAAAATTCAGTGGGCAAATTTTTGGAACCTTGTATATTTTTAAAGTAAAACCCCTTCAATGAGCTTGTAGTTTGGACTCTGGGGTCTTACACCATGTTTTCCCCCTAAGTTCAATTGTAGTTTAAAGGTAGCTTCTTTTCCACATTCTTTTGCAAGCTCTTCATTTTTAGAGGTAAAATTCTCTATTAACTGTGTTTCTTGACACAATTATTCCTAATCTGATGGCCATTTTGGTTCTAGAAGGTTAATTTTAGAAGACATATTTTTGTACGTGGTCATTGAGTACATGTACAATGAATAAGGTGATTTGGTTTTAAAAAGATATCAGAGGTCTAAAATTTTTGAGGAACTAGGTGATGTCAAGCAAATTTGATATTACTGGCGAATAGCAGTCCTGTACGTAACTGAAAAGCCAGATGATAAGATTTCCCATCCCTTTATAATCATGCTTAGCAGTAACTGAGAAGTTATGTGTTGCATCTTTATCAGAACACAAGGTAGGTGTACTGACAAATTCTCTTGATTTTGTTGACAAGAAGGGAGTGATGTAGGTGCCCTGTTTTTAGGCAGTAATATCTGTTTCTAAACAAAACCATATGTATTATGATCTACTCTTCCTCATTAAATCATTAGCAGAAACTTGGATTTAATGTTTGCAAATCTCATTTGAATATATCCTCTTTCCTTCAACTCAAACCAGCAATAAAATCATTATGAACTGCATCAAATTAACTGTATTCTGGACTTGAGCTATCAAAGGCTTATTCACAATTCAGTTTTGGTTTTTCCTGTGGCAGCTACTCCCTGTTAGAGAGCAATACTATACACAGGAAAGGATCCTCAGCTGTATTGGTGTAATAGTGAAAGCAGGATAAAAAATTAACCTGTCAGAAAAGGAAAACAGCAGCAAAAAATGCCCACAATGCCAATGTATTTGCTATGCTGGCTCAATATATTCTTATTCCAGACTACATTGACCTTATGAAGAATGATCTTCACCAGTTTCTGTGACACTTTGCCGGGTCTGAGCCTTAACTGAGGAGGAGGATGCTACTGATTTAAATTCCGGAATATTCAGTCAGTCTGCTTCCCTCTGCATTACCCTGTATGTACTGTATCTAATCTGTTACTTTGGAAGGGCCTGCAGCTGCTGTTAAGTGATTTATCTCAAGTAACCTCTGTGCTGTGACAGGTCTGAGATACTAGATGGTCCCAGCAGTGATAAGAGCAGCCACACTCAGCACAAAGTGCACAATTGCATATTCATGTTAAAGTGGGGTTTGCCAAATAAAATCTGCAGTGCAGTGATTAATCAGTCAATTTCTTTTTGTACACAAAATTCATTAAGAGAACAATGCGATCTTCAATCTATTCTAGGGTAATGTAATTGTTATCTCATGAGTCCGCATGAAATTGTAAGAAATATCGACAAAGAGAGAAAAGTTTCCTTTGTTATTTTTCGTTCAAAAAATTGTTATTCAAATGCAAAGGTTTGTACTAGGAAAACTTATCGCATTTTATTTTACAGTTTTGAGATTAATCTTAACAGCAACTAAGAGGAATAAAGCCTTATTAACTGAGATTCCAAAGATCCATAATATTTGAATATTCTATTTTAAACTACACATTTTTTGAATACTGAATTTCTCATGAACATGTTAAAACAACCTTTTTAGCATCAAAAGGTTTTCAACAGTTTTTGAGCGAACAAAAAAAATAACCTCTTTAAAAGGCACATGATAATAAGAAGATACTAAAAAATTCCTCCTTTTTATAAAAAAAAAAAAGCAAACCCACAAACAAAAAAACCAAGCAGATGAGAGGTCAGGTTTTCAATGTGTTTGAATTCCCAAAGGTCAGAATTTTGTTTGGCTGAGTTGAAATGGATGTGAGTCAGGGATGGCTTACAGTTAGTGTTACTTCAGTAAATAAACCTTTCAGAATTAGCTTTCCCCTCAACATTCAATGCTGTGCTGAATAGCATCTGTTCCATCAAAACTAAGGAGGCCTTGTTCAGGTTTCTGGAAAGTATATCTTTGCAACATAAACTGTCAAATGATGCTGTACCGTGTGAGTGTTTATTTGGACTTTGATTTGAGTCTGTGATCCAATTCAAACAACTGAGATTTAGACTAAGTAAGAAATACACATTTTCAAGCCTTTTACTGAACATGAACTGTCCCTCTGCTTTCAGACTTCTGTAGTGGGTTTACATGGAGAGGTTTTGGTAGTGAGGGGCTGCATAGGTGGTTTTTGTGAGATGTCAGAAATTTCCCCCACATCTGACACAGCCAGTACCAGTGACTGACCAAGTGACTGTAACTGACCAAGAATAAGCCATCAGTGATGATGGTAGTGCTGCTGTCATTTAAGAAGGGGGAAAAAACTGCTGTGCAGGAGCAGCTGGAAGTGAGTAGTGAGAATATGTGATAGAAACAGCTCTGCAGACACCCAAGTCAGTGAAGGAGGGGAAAGGACGCTCCAGGCATTGGAGGATGCTCAGATCATGGTCTGTAGAGAAGACCGGGTGAAGTAGAAGGTCGCCCTGCATCCCACGGAGGTCAATGGGAGTGCAGAGACCTACCTGCAAGCCTTAGAGAACCCCATGCTGGAGCAGGCGAATTTGCCCAAAGCAGACTGTTACCCCACAGGAAGACCACGCTGGAACAGGCTGTTGGCAGGATTTGTGTTTCTGTGGGGAAACCACACTGGAACAGTCTCTTTCTGAAGCAGTGCAGCACCTGGAAAGACACCCACAATGAAACAGTTACTGGAGGACTGGAGGTGGGACACATACTGGAAGAGGGGAAGAATGTGAGGAGTAGTGAGTGGGAACAAGGTGTGATGAACTGACTGCAACCCCCCATTCCCTATACCCTGGTGCCAGTGTGGGGAAAGAAACAGTGAAACTGAGGGTGAAGTTGAACTTGAGAAGAAGTGAGGATGGGGGAAAGTGTGTTTTAAAATTTGTTTTTATTTTGTGTTACCCTACTCTGATTTGATTGGCAATAACTTAAATTAAGTTTTGCAAATCAAATCAGTTTGACCCATGGCACTAAGTGATCTCTTAAGTCCTTATCATGACATTTTTGTTGTACTTTCTCTCTCCTGTTTAGCTGAGCATGGGGAATGATAGAGCTTCCAGCCAAGGTCAGCCCACCACAATGCCTTAAACAAAAATTCTGAAATAGAAAACATTAAGTTTTTAGTTAAAATTTAGTACAAACTTGGGTTCAGATTAAGTGAGGTGGTTGTACCTATTGGTATAGCAGGGATGCAATAGCTTTAAATCTGAAATACTAAGTCAAATAAGCAGAGTTCATAGATCTCCTATATATCTCTAGGTTTCCTGCATAGATAATGGGAAAAAGCCATACCCATCAAGAAAACCAGTACATTCAGTAAAGGATATGAAAACTTCAAGGAGAGAAAAATATATGTTTAGAGTCCTATTTCTGTCCTGAGTTTAAGTATCCCCTGCAGTAAGTATCCACATGAAAATAGAACTGGTAAACTAACTCTGCTTCTTTAATGTAGATGTCTTTGTCACGATTTGTGAAATAAATGTCTCAGCCACTATGTGAATCTTAGTTGCCTCAAAACCTTTGTATGTCCAGGTCTCAGCTTTAAAATGTATTAGTATATAAATTCTGTTCTGCACTAACCTGTTTGCAGTGATTAATATTTTTGTCCCAAAGCTGTGAAGATACATCTTTTTCTCTCCAGTCTTTCAGAGTCAACATTCTGCAGATTATTTGCCTCATTCTCATAAATGTGATTAATTATTTTTTCTTATCTCCATTAAAGCAGTTGTAGGAAAGAAGTGTTTGTGCGTAAATCCATTTGCAAAAATGATGGAACCTTACATGCAGATTTCAATAAATTAATGATATTCTTTATTGGTGTCTGAAATGGCTTCTCCATGACAATTCTTTTTCAGAGTAAGGTGTTTTAACTCTAGAAGGCTGAAGCTTCCTTTTCTGTCATACTTATGTCATCCATCAATTCCTTTTTTTTCTGGCAGAATTACCTATACATCAATTGTGCATGATACTTTTAAGGTTAGGTTGAACAAAAACTGTGGAAAGAAAAGTCAGTAAGTAAATAGCACTGCACAGAAACTGTTGTGAATTGAATGAGCGACTCCTAACAGGTCTTGTACAAGATATCTGTACTTCAATGTCCTTAGATGTCATATTAGTTCAGGACTCTTGTCAAATTTGTGTACATTAGATGAATACTTAACCACAGAATTCCAATGTTGCTTGGTAGTGGTAAATAAGACAGTCCTAAGTGGTGGTGGTGGTGTTGTTGTTGAATCTGTCAAAATGCACTAGACACCAATGAAAATTGCAGTATCATTTATTTCTGCATATACATGTCTTTAAATTTTAGATAAAGTGAATTGTTGTAAAGAGGCTCTGCCATAAATTACAGCTGACAGTGGAAGTGATTAAGGCACATAGTTTGATTGCATGCATTAATCTCTACGACTTTTGTCAAGTCTAATTTAATTACCCACAGGTATATGTTTCTTTTTAATTTATTAGCTTTGTCAGTAATCAGTTGCATTGTATGCTATTACTTGCAAAAGGTGAAATCCAGCTTCAATAGTGGAAAAATCAGACAATGAACAGCAAAATAAAACATTAAATGTCACAACCCTCAAGTGTATAGTAATACTGTTAAATCCACTTATGAAACAAGACTATTTATTTAATCTTGAAGGACTGTCACATATCTTGATTTAGACCAGTCTATTCTCCCAGGTAAAAACAGTTGAGAAGCCTTAATCATTTTCTGTTGTGGAAACTGCCGCTGAGGTTATCATCAGCCTTACAGATTTGTATTTTTTAACCAACTTCATGTCTCTATTTGTACCTAGCTATTTATTGCTTAGATGACAGTACAGTCTTTTCCTCATGAACAAGTGATCATGAATACAGATATTTTATGATATATGACATTTTAATAGACTAATATCAGGACTCCAATTTTCAACACGCTCATCATTTTAGGCCTCATGTACGAGTTATACATATTCTCTGAAAGTTTCTTTGTAATCCTGATGAGGTATTTAAGAATTCTTGTATAACTAGCAGAACTGTCTGTTCTAGTACTCTATTGCATTCATAGATAGTAACATTTGCAAAACTCTCTACTCAGGAGCATTGTCTGGTCAGGTTTTTGAATTCAGTATTGCACAGTCTCATAAAAATCCATGTCTTTCACCTGTAAAATCCCTAACTACGTGGAAGATTGGGTGGTTTTTGGTTTGATCTTTTTTTGTATGCATGTTTTGTAGTTTTTTGTTTGTTTTTGTTTACTCATGCATTCTACTCTTTTAGTGAATAGACACAGAGTGGGTTTTGTGGTTGGTTACTAAAATACATTTTAATCGTGATTAAAGTGTCGGGATTGGTTAATATTATTGGTTATTTCCACATTGACGTGGACAAAACAAAGGAAACAAAAATCATTTTGTGTAGGTGAGTGACTGTCAACATCTCAGAGCCAAGCTCTGTTTCCTCTGTGTCAATAAGTAAAATTTTGTTCTGTGAAACTTCTGAAACAAATGTATAGCTGACAGAAGAATAATTTCTTTTTTAAATAACTGAAGAATTTTTACTACCTACTTGCCCTTAACTAATGCACAGTAAACCATTTCAAACAAATATAACACTGAAATGTACACAAGGGAAATAAAAGAGGCTTCCTAAATTGCATAGTACATGCAATTATTATTATACTTGTTTAGTGGATATATAAAAATAAACTGCTTACTTGTGGCCAATGGACTTAATTACTGCACTAGCTGACAGAAATAAGCCTTCCCATGAAGTAAATATGTTGTACTATATGGCTATAAATTTAAGAAAATATTTTTTAATATAGTGCATGTGCATTATTACTGTCGTTGAACAATAAGTGCAGTATCTTGCAGTCTCTGAGAAATGATAGAAGTAATTAGGACTTGAAAACAAGAGCAGGACTGTGTTCTATGGCATGCCAAACTTCATGAAAAAATAGATATCATGGCTCTGAAGTAGTGCACACACAAGGGCAGCAGGGAAGCTTTCAGTTTGAAAACTGTATACCAACCATATGATACACCCAGCAAGTGGAGAGTGCTATGTCTATATTTATTGTGTCTTTTTTCTCTAATATACAGACATTATACAGTGAAGCTTACTTTAAAAGTGTCATTACTTCCCACAAGGCTATAGGGTGATGAGCAGTCGACAGACTGAGTGAGAAAAAGCTATTCCACTTGCAGCTCAGAAGGCAAATCTTAGATCAGGTAGAATAGTGCAGAGAAAAGTACCATGAGGCCAACAAGAATTCATATTGGACATCCAAATTAAAGAAAATACTAATCAAAGTCAAAAAGCTACATAGGAAGGCAAACTGTAAATTCAGAACAAAATAGAAAGTGTAAAATGGCTAAAAGCAGTGAATGGACCTACAACTCTCAAACTGAGAACCATCATAAGACAAATAACAGTATCAAAAAGTGAATGTCCTTCATAAACCTATATAATTCTGTACTAATTTGCATTTCTGTGTTTTTCAGTTGCTACTGTTTCATGAAGAAAATTACTGCTGCATTTGGAGACCAAAAAAATAAGAAAAAAGTTTTGGTTATTCATGAAAACCTTCAATATATTTAATCAATTTAGAGAAATAACCGTGCAATGTAAGATAATAAAAAACAGCTTTAAACAATAGCTATTCTATTCAATTTCTTCATGAAGTCCAGGGGTCTAATGCTATATTATGCAGACTATATACTGCTGGCCAAAAGAGTTTTTCACTATTAAGAGATCTTCTATCTCTTTTCCTTTCTTAACAGATAGGTTACCAGGAGCATCTTGGTTTTTGACACCAATGTTAATTAAAGACAAACAATGAGTTAGGGATAGTGGAAATAAATGGGTGTGGGGAGAGAGAATGCAATACAGACTTCTGTAAGCAATTGCACAGCTTTAAAAGTCACGCTTCAAATTCTATAAATATACATTGAGAGAAATACACAAACTGGTCACCCAAATAATACAATTATGACTTTATAGTCACAATTACCTCATTTTTTTCCTCCCATGTTGTGCTGGTTTGGGCTGGGGTAGTTAATTTTCTTCACAGTGGCTAGTATGGGTGTATGTTTTCTATTTGTGCTGAACACAGTAATGACAATAGATGTTTTTGTCTCCTTTTAGCAGTGCCTACACTGAATCAAGGCCTTTTCTGTTTCTTGTACTGTGAGGTGAGATGGTTTGCCTGAGAAATTGTGAGGAGACATAATCAGGACAAGTGACCAAAAGGATATTCCATGCCATATGACATGATGCTCAATTATAAAGTGGGAGGAAAAAGGAGGAAGGGGGGGCATGTTTGGAGTGATGATGTTTGTCTTCCCAAGTAATTGTGAAATGTGATGGGACCCTACTCTTGTGGAGATGGCTGAACACCTAGCTGCTCATGGGAAGCAGTGAATTAATTCCTTGTTTTGCTTTGCCTGTGTGCATGGCTTTTGCTTTGACTATTGAACTGTCTATCTGAAACCATGAATTCTCTGGCTTTTACCCTTCCAGTTCTCTTCCCCATCTTGTTGGAAGAGTGAGCAGCTGCATGTAGCTTACCTGCTGCCTAGGGTTAAACCATGACACATGTAAATAAAGTGGAATCCAGGAAGATAGTATAAAGAATGGAATTTTTACTCTTTAAGTATTGAAGCAGAACAACAATGAAGAGATAAGAGGAACACTGCTTGTTGAAACAAGTTATTGCCTGTTTACTGGGGATGGGGTTAAATGTGCTCATTTTACATTTAGTCTGATGAAAGAGGTGAGGAACCTCTGATCCAGGTTCTTCCTTTCTACATGTCATAGTTATTTATACACCACAATAAACTAACTGTACTGCAAGACTATTTCTCAGATTAATTATCACTCAGAAGTAAGATTAATTACAGAAGAAAAACAGTTAACGTGTTCAAGAACAGAAGTTGACTTTTTTACTTTAACAAAATCTTAAAACAGAAGGAAAATGAGGACGTGCAATCATTCTGGCATGGACCCACACACTAGCCATCAAACTAGTACTACCTAACCTCTTCAGAGACCTGCCCTGGATCGAGATAGACTGAGCATCTTGTACTATTCAGCGTAAAGTCAGTTTCTGTTGTGTGATTCAGAGACAGAATGCAGTAACATCACTCATCTTTTTAATGTATACAGTCATGCTGTACTTGTGATAATTTCCAATGAAATGTCAATAAAAGAAATTAGGTATGGGTGACTAGCGAGTTAAAAAGCTAACACTGTATATATAAGAGGAATATTGTTAATTTACCATGTATTTTGTTACAACTCTAATAAATGAGAAAAGAATGAAAAAAGGAGTAATTTTTAGGAGCAAAGGATACAAATAGTGTGAAATACAAAATTTTAGTAACACTTAAACTGAAGTTAGAAAACTACTTACCCTGGTCTATGCAATATAACATGTTCTTTTGGGCTAGACATATAGGAAAACTTTGGCTTCACTGAAAACAGACAGAAGGACATGTTTGGTAACTGACCATCTTGATTTGTAATAGGTACAAAATTTTTAAGAACTGTTCTCCCAGAACTGTAACAACTGATCTCTCTGTGTCTTAAACTTAAACTCTGTCAAATGTAACTTTCAGGTGTTCTACAAATTAAATACAGTACTCTCTTTTGAGGCATTAAAATCCATTCCTTTATAAAAAAACCTGATCTGTACAGAATGGATGAAGTAGTCTCTAATAGAAAGGGAGACTTAATTTCCATGACAGAAGTGCGTGGATCATATTAAGCATTCTGGTGGTTTGAAACTCCCAAGAATCTAATTTTTAAGTTCAAGCCCCCTCTCCCACAGTTTGCCCCTGTGAGAGGGTTTAGTGATGGTGTGGACTTGATATCTTTGCCACCCCATGTGAAGAGTTTTCAGACAAAACACAACCATTCGTTATTGGGGGGAAGGGGAAAATATTTACAAAGGTTTATTTACATCCACATATATATTTACATTAAATCAAATTTCTCCTTTTCTTCAATAAAAGTCCAAAAAGAAAAGAGAAAAGTCTTTCTGTCACTTCTCAGGCCACAGTTCCTTCATTTCAGTTTTCTTGTGGCACTAGTTAGTGTCCTTCATTTTCCCGAGGCAGTAGATTTGACAGTCAGGATTTTTATTCTTACTTTGTGGAAATTCCAACCCCGAGCCCGAGCCTTCGGGGGATTTCCTTGTAGATCTTCACTCCTCTTGGGTTAGAACATTGAAGGCAGCTTTCAGTTCAGTCTTACCACCGCTCTTTTACTCTGTCTCAGCTCAATAGCTTGATAGAAACAGCAACAGCAGCAGTGGAGGCCAAGGCCACCTCCTTCGCATTCCGTCCTGGCTCAACTCTCAGGACAACTCCGGGT